ACACACACACACACACACACACACACACACACACACACACACACACACACACACACACACACACACACACAATCGATTTGCAGAAGCAAATAACCCTCTCATCGACACACAGCTTTACCTCTGGGTGATGGATGAGGTAGGTTACAGCCCATTTGAGTACAGTCGTGGTGGTCTCAACACCGGCCCCAAAGATATCCCCCACTGTCATAAGGAGGTGGTCGTCGCTCAGACCCGCGGACTCTGCACTGATCTCTGCCGTGTTGTTGTTCTCGGCGCTGCGTTTGGCTCTGAGCAGAGCGTCCAACAGGTCTCTCTGTACGTGGTCACTGTAATCTGCCTGGGAGGAGGGACAAGGTCACTCAGGATATCATCAGAACAAACTGCACCTCACAGGGTTTGCTTCAGGAAATGTAGCTTATTTAGAGAAAAGATGACTTATTGGTTCACTTTAGCTGAACCATAACTATAACCAACTCAGACAACCACAGCAGTAACTTGTAGAATGAATCTGAAAACACATTTCAAGATTGGTCCTGGTCATGACATTTATTATTCGAAGACTTATTTAATAATGTTCTTTTTCCAGGTTAAAGGACAAAAAGGAAGTAATTTAGAAGCAGTGTTTTCTTGAAGAGGGTTGAACAGATATAAAAAAGATTGAGTTAGAACTGAAGAGAAAGCTGCATCACTCATCGTCCTTATATTATTATACATCCATTTCTTGACCTTTGCAGGGTACCAGAGGAGCTGGTAAATATAGAATATATATAAAGCAGTTTTTACATCTACTCTATAAGTGAATGTGAAGTAAATGTGTTACATTTACTCAATTCAGTTGAGTGGAACCTGATGACATAATTTGTTGAAGTGAATCCGACACATCTGTTGCATGTATATATTAATTTATTATTATCATATATATGCATGTGTGTGTATATTTATACATTATTCTATATAGATTTGTATGTAAGAAGTTGTGTACATAAAATGGTAGGAACGTATATTTGTCTACAAAAAAGACAATTATTTCCAGAAAGTAATACATCAAAGATATTATTTTGTAATTGTTGTTATATAATTTATATAGAACAGCAGATGAACTGATTATTCTTTAAGTCTTACTGAAATCATTAGTGTGTAATTCAGAATAAGGGAACAGAAGAAGCTGTTATGATAGTAAGCTTTGGAAAAGGGTGGGATTAAATAAGTGTGTACTTTTTCTTACTCCTTTTCAAATATGTTTTATTTATTTATTTATTTATTTATTTATTTATTTATTTATTTATTTATTTATTTATTGTTATACATGCTTGAAATAAACTTAGACATGCCCAAAGTGAGAAATGTGAGGATACAGCTCTAATTACTGCACCGATGTCCTGCCCACAGCACAGATGTTATGTAGAATAATATACGTACATATGTGTAATTTATAGGGTTGATATAAATCCAATGATCTGGTCAGTAAACATGTGGTTCTGTAATTAGTGGCTGTACAGTATTAGTATTAGTTTTGGAGGCCGTACCTTGTGCTCTTCATATTTCTTCTGTAGAAGTCTGTCTCGAATCGCAACACACTGTTTTAGAAGGCGCAGGTCCGCATTGGGAAATATCTGTGACAAAAGGTGAAATATTTATTATTATTACATGTATTACAATACACAAACACACAGTTATGTGCGATACAAATGAGCATACTTAAATAATAATTAGTTAATAATTAAAATGACATGTTGTCATTTATTAAATAAAAAAGTCAAAACAGAAAAGCTGTGAGAAAAAAAATAATTTGAACTAAATCCAGTCTTGCAGCTCCCACCAAGAAGAACCAGCCGCCTCCAATGAAATTGGGAAGTGTTAAAGGGATCCTCGATTAGTTAGACTTTATTTGATAAACATATATTTACTGTAAAATAA